GTAGTTTATAATTCCATAGTTAATAGCTGAAAGTATTTTCACCTAGCAATAAACCCAACATTTACTACAGTCATAAGATGGAGATTACAACATTTACTACCATCGTAGAACCGAAATTACAAACGGCTTTTGATCGCTGCGCAAGGGAGGAGTTTCAACACTTGTGCAAGACGAGAAGGTCACCGTCTGCTCCCCGCCACTGCCACACCCACTCCACAGGCACAGGGAGCATCAAACGCGGAGCTGCACAGCCCGGCAGCTCTGCACAGCCCGGCAGCTCTGCACACCTCCAACCACGGAGCACACGGCAAGGGCCACAGACAATTACAGCACACCCCAGCGATGTGTGCATTCCCTCTAGCGAGCTAAGGGAAATGCACATTAGGCTGCAATTACAGCCAAGCGCTCGGTGTGAGACTTGAGTGCTGCAAATGCTGCCGTTCTCCTGACAGCAAACAAGTCGGAATTTTGACCTGCAACTTGACACAGCCACCAAAACCAAGCAGATGGCACTGTGAATTAACATCTCGAATTCAGTCCCAGGAACACAGATGCATTGTAGGCTTTCTTGCAACATTATGGCAACAGCAGCATTAGTTCTAATGACGTGAAACACCAGGTACCTATTTGAAGAGTATCTGTCAATTATATTCTGCTTACTCTTCAAGAAAGTGGGGGGGGAAGCAAACAAATGATATTGTTGGTAAAACAATAAAAAACAGCCTTCTTGAGCTATTAAAAAGATAAGTATAATGCCCAACTTGCCCTATAGATTAACAGTTTTACTTCATTCAAGAAGTAATACAGCGAGCTGAAAAACCTAAACCTAAAACACTTCACACAAATATGACAAAGGAAGCAATGCTTTGTTTCACAATTCAGACTGGTATTAATTGGTCATTAATTGAAAGGAACCCACTGATGGTCAACTTATGATTCTAAATCCACTAATTGAGTGGCTCTTCCTCCTGCATAATAGATTCTATGATATTTTAATTAGCTGCTCCATAAATTCTTTTATTTAAAAGGAAATAAAGAAAGATGTTATTTTACAGAATATTCAGGGTTTATTTTTTTACTTCCTGCATAAAGAAAGGTAACAGAAAATGTGACAAAAGCATTAAGCACAAGCCAAGCTACAAAATAAAAAAAATACTTATGTCAGTTTATGTGGCTCTGACCCTTCCATACCTGCTTATGGAAGTCAAGTGTACTGCCTTACCTGGGAACACCACCTGGCTTCTTGGAGAACATGTTGGGAAGCACTTGGCTAAGGTGTCTCAGTCCAAAGGCAGCCCATGTTCCTGAAGGACAAGCCACTTAGCTTGTCATAAACAGAAACATCCACTAAAATCCAGTCCACCTAAGTGGAAATAGAAGTCTGAAACCGGCAGTTATGACAAGCAGAGATGTGAAAGATGCTACTTTTAATGTGTTATAACCAAGACAAATGTCTGAACTAGAACATTTTTCTGGGGTTAAGTATTTGCCATCTCTGTCTATAGGGAATGGAGAGATATCAGTCACCTCAGAAGATTCTACCTCAGCTGTGGGGCACCTCCTTGAGGAAAGGCTGGATTGCCTTCAGAGAGGCACTCTCACTGCACTGCCTATAGAAGAAGCAGGGGGCCAAACTGGACAGTGGAAAGGGAGGCAAATTCATCCACAGATGGGAAAAAAATATAGAAGATATACATTATTACAAAAACATCATGCCTTTGAGCAAATCAAAATATGACATGGAGAAAGGTTTTTCTCCCACACGCAGACAACTGAAATTCAGCTACTCTGTGTTTAAGATAACAAGGTTTTTCCTCAGAAATCAGAGTCAATCCCTGCCCAGGGATGGGAGGTGGGAACTAAATGATCCTTAGGGTCCCTTTCAACCCAAATCATTCTGTGATTCCCAAGGACAGGCTCATAAGTGTGGACCAAGTGGACAAGAAGCTACAGGCTCTCACATTGCTGCTAACAATCCAAATACTCCCCAATGACTTGCTGAACTGCAACATTATGCAATTACATGGGTATATTAAATCTGAGAACTACAAGCCCAGAGCATCTTGTAGAAGAAAAAAAATCAATTTGGTTGTTACTTGGTTAGTTATGGTACGGTATAATTAGCCCAGCTCATTAAACCTAAGACAATGAATACAGAGCATCTTGTATAAACTTTATTGACAATACTACACATATAATTTGCATCTTGCTGAAATGAGCAATAACTGCATCAATTTTCTTTTTGAAAGAATAAGCTTCATATTGCTTAATGCTAAAAGAAATTAAGATTTCCACAGAAATTTAAGCTTTTAGTCATTATTCCATGAAACAGAAGTCTTACTAAAAATGGGCTTTTAATCTTCGCCTGGAATAAACTTATCCTGAAGAGTGAAGCAAACATAGTTAATTTATTCTCAAAACCTTCACATCAACATTCAGACTTGGTCCTCCCGCTCAGTTCAGATAATTTCCCAGTTGGCCATTCCATCTCATCATATACCCACCATCACCCCAACACTGCCTGTGGAGGCTTTTCCCCCTCATTCACTTACAGCCTCTCAAAGTCAGCTACTCCTTACAGAGAGAAAAAGTAGTAAAAAGTTACTCTCTGCTGTCATCACACCACTCCCCTACTGCTTAAAATTTTTTCTACAGAGGTTCCTCCCCTTGCTATTTAAAACATACTTTTGAGAAAGGAGCTGCATACTACTGCAGCTCCATGAGGAGCAGATTTCTAAGTACCTCCCCCTCACCTACATTTTCCACTTTTAAATATACTCTTTCTCTGACACTGAAAAAAAGTGAGCATAAAGAGAGTGGTAAGTAACTGCCTTAAATTCCAAGCCACTTAGGTGTAAGAGAGAAGGCCCGGGTTTACAATTACTACCAAGATACTATGGATAGAAGAAGCCTGCCTTTGCTATAGATGATTTACTGAATGATGGCCATAAATATTTTTCTCCAGAAACTGCAGCAAAGAAGGTCCTGGTTATTGAGGGAGAACATCAGTCTCAGATTTCCAGGGTGGGGAGTTCAACCAGTGATATAAAGTGTTCCCAAAAGAAAAGTGAAGTAACTAATATGACTTCTGAAAAACAAATAAAACAAGCAGCCTTCAGAAAAGTGGTTAGAGTTGCTAATGGGAATTGTTAGTTTATTACAAATAAATTGCATCTTAGACATTAACAGTTTGTGTCTCCTATCAGGCATAAAATTTCAATCCTGCTTTATTTGTCTCCCAGTTATATGAATTGTTTACAATATTCACTGATTACAGTTATATTAGAAAATAATAAACAAGGAGTAGGAAAAACAAGTCCATTATTTAAATCTAATGTTTAATTTTGCTTTGCATTGATACTCAGCAATATCAATTGGATACAAATAGGTTTTTTGCATGCTATTTAAATAGCAAGAACAAAGAAACTTGATTAACAGGAAATGCATAAGAGAATGGAAGAATGAAGGGACTACATTAAAAGTCATAAAGCATTTTTAAAAGCTTCATTAGATTTAGAAATGTATCAAAAACCCACATCTTCTGGAAAAATCTATCAAATTGCACAATTGAAATTAGAAAGCATGAGATTTCCTGTAACAGGGGAGAAGAATGGAATCTGAAACTTCCCTTTCCAGTTCCAAACGCAGCCCTATGGAAGTGCACAGCTGCTCCCAAGTGAAAGAGACAGGCAGCTCAACATCTCGGATCAGTAACATGTGGCTGAGGCAGCTACAGACACATTCCTCTCCCATGTGATCCATTAAAATCTCCTGATACGTTTCAAGCTCACGCTGTGGAATTACAGTAATGGAACTGTCCTGGGACCTCAGAGCTCCGACCACAAGTGTCTTTTGTTAAGAAAGCTGCCAAGGCTTGAATTTCCATTTAATATCAGTTTTCTACAAAAGTATAGATAGGCTATCTAAAACATATGGACAAACATGTGTTTTAACAAAGCTTTTAGGGATTTTTTTTTTAACCCTTTAAACATATCTCCAAGTGCTTCACTTGTCCCAGCATTGGCACAGTCCTACTACTCTTTGGGTTTGGGCACTACCATTCACAAGTCCTTAGATGTATTCTCATAAAACATGAAACATTTGGAAATAAAATCACTTTGGCACGCAATCTAAAGACACAGCAACTAGATCACCTAAGACTAAACTTTTTTAATACTACTTATTTTTTAAAAGTATTTGCATATGGATAGAAAATGCAGGTAACTTGTCCTGTAATTCCTACAGTGTACTATAAAAGCAAAAACCTACTAAGATATAGAAAAGCAATCTTTATCTCAATCTTTCCTCTGAACAGACTCAACTAAAGGATTGAAAAGTGGAACATATGAGTGAGAATAGCTGCATTTAGGCCAAGCTGACTGATCAGAAAGAGTATGTGTGTGTGTGTGTATATATATAAATGTAAAAATACATAAAACCTCTCCAAACCTCAGGACTGCCTTGTGCTGACATGTAAGGTAACATCGAGGGGAATATTGTTTCACTTCCATGCAAGCTTGCCCTAACTGCTCTCCCCAGATGTCACCTTGCCCATGAGTCTCTGAAGAGACTTCCATTAAAACTTAACATCTGGAAAAAATTAAATTGGAGACGAGTAGTTAAGATGCTACATTAATTAAACTATCAGTTGATTATAAACCTATCCCATAAATTCCTTCAGCACTGCCCTGTTTCAAGACTCATTTAGGAACCTGGTGACTGAAAGGAGGGCTGGCAAGTTCCCTGAAAAGGATCACTGCTCCTGTTTACAATGCACAAAACTTCTGCTGTTAAACTTTATGAAGACCTGGCTTGTGAGCATCTCATGTGCTGAACCCAGAGAGCTCAGGTCTGCAACAGGTTACCTGATGAATGAATCTGAGTCTTGCACTAGAAATGCCTTCCTTGCAAATTTCATTCCATGAAGCAGTTTTGACTCCTTTACTATTACACCCTTCAAAATTATAAATGTGTGTTGAAAAAACTTGTATTCAAGGCAGAAAATGCAAATGCTCTCAGGCTTCCTGGCTGCTTTAGAGCACAAGCTGTGCAAAGCCAGGCCATCCCTCATCTTGGAGCTGATGCAGGCAGTGTGTTGCATTTGCTTTCACATTAGAGAGTTCAGCTGCTGTGACTGTTTTCCACAGGAGAAAGCTCCAAAGTCTTCCCTATCATCCAACTGAAATTTCTGCTCTCTCAAATTTATTCCAATTTCTGAACCATAATTTCTCCTTCAGGCACGTTCCTCAGAAATGGGTGGTTGTGCACTGTGCCTTCATTACCCCACAGCACACCTCCACCCTCCTCCCCTCACCCAGGGGATGTCTCTCCAGGCTGTCACCCAGACAACTGCATATTTTAGGAATATAAATACCACAATGATTTCCAAACACTTGGAGTTCAAAACACAGGTATTTCTAAAGAATTTGGTTACTTGTATGAAACAGCTAAGAAACAAAGAGGTAAATAGAAGCTGACAGAGGGAAATCTGTCACTGCCAAGGCAATGGGGAACCTCCCCCTGAGGCTCACCAGGTGTGGGTCAGCTTCCAGCTTGCAGCCACACACCTGAAAGCCACAGTTCTGCTGTGAGCAGCTAAGCAAACGTTAGTTAACAAAAGCTTTCCAGAAGCCCAGTAGGAAATTTCAAGGAGAATAAAGGAGTGCCTTTAGCTTCATTTTAATCAAGCTAAAAATGTTTAAGCACAAAGCAGCTACAAGAAAAATTAATGTCATTAAAAGACCAAGCTCTACCTCTACTCACATCTCTCTTCATTACACTGCAATCTGAAACCTAAATTCAGTCTTAGAGGAATTTTATCCTTTGTATTTACATTCCAAAGCAAAGTTGATTGTTTAAAAACTTAATTGTGCAGCAAGGAAAAGAGACCAAGAAAAAAATTTCAGATATATGAATGAGAAAAAAACCAGTCTGGATAGCACTCAAACAAGCTCAACAAAATGCCACTATATCAAAGTATTTATGTTTGAAATGCCAACAGATGCTTTTTTTAGTATATTAGGATAAAATCATGGAATCCTAGAATGACTTGGGCTGGAAGGGTTCATTCCAACCCCCTGCCATAGGCAGGGATACTTTCTCCTATCCCAGGTTGCTCCAAATCCCCTCCAACCTGTCCTTGAACGTTGCCAGGGATGGGGCATCCACAGCCTCTCTGGGCAACCTGTGCCAGTGCCTCAGCACCCTCACAGGGAAAGACTTCCTGCTAATATGTAATCTATGACAGTTGGGATCTGTTCCCCCTTGTCATGTCATGCCCTTGTAAATAATCTCCCCCCATTATTCTTGTGGCAGGCTGCAATTACATCACCCCAAAGCCTTCTCTTCTCCAGGCTGAACAATCCCAATTCTCTCAGTCTCTTCGTTCCCCATCCTGGATTGATACTGGGGGCTGCCCTGACCCAGGTGCCAGTAACAACATCCATGCTTCACAGGAATAACCCTTTTTTTGGTCTCCTTGCCTGGATTTTGATATCTTTATAAAAGTGGAAAAAAATAAAAATGAAGGAAAAAGCAAGTGTTCCTGTTAAGTGTAAGCTGTAAGGCTTTTAAGGAGGCTCACAAAAGAAAAAACAAAGATGCCCATATGGCCAAAAGCACAGAGAACACCAGAAGAACAGATTCAGTGTAACTCAAATCCCACATGTCTGGATTCAGATGATGTACAATGCTTTAAAAGGCTGGGGATAAAAACAAAGTTAGGGAATTAAAATCAATTTTAAAGAGTCATATAAAGATAAGATTCAAGAAATTTTCAATAATTCTTCAATGCAATAATGAGGTTAATGAATAAAAATGCATGCCGTTTGTTTTCTCGCCTGTCAAACTCATTAACAATCCAAGGGAAATTATTTATGAATATTCAAATTTCTGATCTCTACATATGGCATAACTGAATACATGCTCGAATTTGTTGATAATTTTTCCTTCTCAAGGAAAACAATGTATTCAAAATATCTGGCAATGCTTTCTCAATGACTAGTTGAGCATTCTAGTTGTGAGTCAAGGAAAAATGATAACTTCCACAGAAAAAACAGGAAATATTTCTTAACTTTTAACAGTCCCATAACTAGTGCAATACCCAGTGTTATCTTTCTGTTACCATATACTGTACATATATCTTGATATCCTGCTAAATTCCTGCATTACAGTTCTAAGAGAATGATCTTGCCTTGCCACAGAAATTTTGAAAAGTAAATTGTCGTAACATATTGCTATAAAGATGGCTTTAAATTATTCAGAAATTTCTGTTGTTTTCTTCCAAAAGCACTAAGAAGGCTGAATTTGAAAAGATATGACTAAGAAAAGCCCAAGCACATATACTCACAAATCCTTCTCTCTCTCATTTGGAAATATAAATTCCTAATTAAGTCACATTAAACTTTTAAGAAAATAAAATGTCTTCAGTATTATCATTCCACAAAAATATCTCTGGCTTCATAAAGCTGCATTGATTAGAGAGAAAACAAATTTTGGGCAGCCCCTCTCCAGAATAAGTAACCAAACCCAGACCCCTGCTTTTCCTAAAAAGAGGCAGAAAGACAAGGGAAGCTGAGGTTTAAATTGCGTTTTTCCTTTGTTTTAGTGCAGCAGCCTGCAGTGAAAGGGAACAGAAAGCTGCCCCGGCACAAGGAAAATTTTGAAGAACTTCAGTGGATGCTTTTGCAACTTGTCTGTCTTATTAACTTCTTCCCTACAAAGGATTTCTGCTTCCAAAGCCCTGGCTACCTGTCGTATTTCCAGAGAAATCCCATTAATTATGACATTCAACAACACAAGGAATCATTCCAAGGAATTCTGCTGAGTTAAAGCTACCACCACCAAAAGAGAGGTTACTAGAGACTTCATGAAAACCTGCAGTACTACTTTAGATTTTCATTTTTTAATGAAGCGATTTAAAGAAAAAAAGAAAGGTGAGAAAGTTGAAGCACATAAATGAATTAATACCTAGATAGATGCAGTCTTCTCCTTTACTCTTGCTCTTCTTTCCCCCATGAGGAAAGTTAGATTCCTAAAAATGAGTGTGACATCTGTCCTGCAGATTGGCACAGGATTGATCAAAATCACAATACAGCTTGACATGGATACCCAAAGGAGTCTGCAAGGCTAGAAAGACATGGGACTTGAGGTAGGCAGGACACTGAGCAAACTTGTTTTCCCAAGGGGTAAGTTAAGCTGCAGAGGTAAGAAAGAAATAATGCTCCATAAAAACATGTCTCTTAAGAAATTAGATTAGGCTTGCATTTTCTCAGGTGTCCTTATTACCATAACTATATATATATATCCAACTAATGGCTCTAATACCATGCAAATGTTTATTCTATAGCTTAAACTGAAGAATTAGCAGCAGAGCCCATTTCTCCTACTGCAGTAGGAGAAACATCCCAGTTCTGTGTGCACCTCCATCTCCAGGGAGGCAGGAGCAGTTGTGATCCCTTGCTGTCACAGCAAGCCATGCATCCATCAGACACCATCTGACTGATCTTAGCAAAATCAGAAATATGAAGGACAGCCTTGAGCTGGCAGTGCTGCTGTGCAAAGCCCAAAACCAAAATATGCTAGCAGCTAAAACTAATGGAAGGTTGGACTAGATGATTTTAGGTTGAACTAGATGATCTGAAAGGTCTTTTCCAACCTAGTTCATTCTGTCATTCTGTGAAGCTCATGGCAAAACCAGAAAAAGTTCCATTTACAAACACATCAGAATGCAGGTACTATAACCAGATGGATATAAAGGTAGAAAAGCCTCAGTCTGAACTTTCCTTAGAGCTCACTCTGCCAATCCCAAATTTCACCAATTAACAGAAAGCGAACAATGGGAACGATGTTAAACCAAAGTGCATTGAAAACCTGCAAGAACACTTTCTCAGCTGCACTCCCTTCAAAGCTTCCTAAATAACACTTCTTCCCTTTGCAAAGCAACAAACATGACTTAAGCCTTGACCATATTTACTGAAACTCACGTGGCAAACCTGCTTTCATTCTAATTTTTTAAATACCAAAAGGTGAGAGGTACTGACTGCATCCTCAAGCCCATATAAGAGTTTGCAGAGCATCAGTCTGAGGAACAAAATCCACGTGAATGGGGGAGGGAGGATGAGATCAAACCTAAAACCCACCAAGTTTTTTTTTTTTTTTTTTTTTTAATTCAAGTCTCTAAAATTGTATTTCAGCTCTTACCATCATGAAAACAATGCTGGTAGGAATTGTAGTACAGCCTCCATGTCAGTATACTAGCTGCTAAGGTTGTGTGTTTAAAGAGTTATTGGTTTAATTCAACCACTTGTTTGCTATGTGCTTCTTTCTGGTGGTTTATGTATTTTAATTATTTTGCAGGCTTGCAAGATCTGTACTTTTTAATAATGTGTTGTCACATTCTCAGTAATCAAAATACAGAAAATAGTTTAGGTTTTGAGCAAATGTAACATAAAACATAGATAAAGGTAATACAGGAGGTTACTGTCCAGCATAAAGACCCTACTGGGCAATAGCCAAAAAAACATTGCTCTGGTGGTTGAAATCATTCCCGATTTTCTCCCTTCCAATTGTTTTTCTTTCTTAAATCGGTAATAAAGATATTGCCATACTTCTTCCCTTATGTTCAATTTTTTCCTGAAGCACCCAAGACTAGTTTCTTCAGACTTGTGCTTTCATAATCTGTTCTTAAAAATGACAAAAGCTTATATAATGAAAAGATTAAACCAAAAATAAAGTTACATAACTATAAAGATGCAGACAGAACAGCTGAAGGGTGTAATATTAATAGCCAAAATCAGAGACCTCAGCTTTGTGTTCCAGTAGTAACTGTTCAGGTTATAAAAATATATTCTAACCTTTAAGAAAAACAAGCACTGATGTAGATTACTTCAAAATGTTATTGAAAATATGTTTGTTCTTATGATATTGAGTTTTCTGATATGGAACGGTAAAGTGAAATCCATGTACAACACCCATGGAAGGAAGCCCGTGAATTTGCAAGAACACTGATTTCCTACAGACAGCCCATATGGAAGAGCAGCTTTGGCAAGTACCAGTTCAGGCAAGAGCAGGTATTTGTGAAACCCAGCTCAAGGCAAATGGTGAACCTATGCTGCTTTCAATACTTCCCAACACTGTACTGGTGAAATTTTATAAAGCAATCATTCATCATTTCATATATGAATAATAAAGAAGATTATTGAACTGTGGAGGAAAGCCACAAGCAAAAAAGATGGACACCAGGTTAGTCACTGTAATAAGTATAGATTGTACATTCGTATAGAGCATGACTATGCAAGATAAACTTTTTAAAAAGCACTTTGTCTCTAACTTTATCCATAATGCATCCAAAGACCTTTTCCAAAATAAGTGAGGGTGGCATACAGATCCTTTTCAACTCCTAACGCAAGGCAGAAATATAGAGGGACTTGCTGCAGGTCCCCCATAGTTAAACCAGTCTCATGTTTAAAAACCTACAATAAGCACACAAAAATACGAAGATCTCCAAGCACAAAAAGAGGAATCAAGAGTTCTATCAAAAAGAACTACAAATCAAGTCCTAAATTCCCAGAGATTATGGCACACAATACGTTCACAGATGCAGAGAGATGGGAACCAGCTGGCAATTAGGAGAGTACAAACGAGACTTAAAGCTAGGTTTAATTCCATGTTGTATCCAGGAATACTTCAAGTCTCAAAGAAATAATTCTCTGCTTTTCCCATATACTTCCCAAAGCAACGTTCCTCCCTCCCCCCTGCTTCACTCAGGCAGGCTGTGACCCTATTCCGTGAGTACCAGAGGCGCAGTTGGAAAGCTGCGTGGGCACTTTGCGGAGCATTTCGCAAGCGTGTGTGTGCCAACCAATCCTCATCACGGGAGCAGCTTCCTGTCAGCATGGGAAAAGAATACCTGGCGAGGAAGATCTAAATGTCTTTTAAAAATTTAAAAACTAAAATAGTGTTGTAACAGCATTTCTTCCAAGGCTGTGCCTGGCACTACGTAAAACGCCTAAGTTAGTACAGTAGCTTCACATATTATCGAAGAAAATGAGGGAGGTGACTTTTTCAGGCAGTGAAAGTATGTTAATCATTAAACTCACTTTCCTGAAAGCACAAGCACGTGCAGGTACATGGAAGGTACTTCCAACCCTGCTTGATAGAGGCCTTTACAGAATCTTTTGCAGATCACCAGATAAAGTTTCTCTCACACAACAGAACAACTTAACTTTGGGAAAATATTCACTGCTTTCTGCAGATACCCAGTGCTGCAGCACAGAGTAACCAAGCAGTAACTTCTTAGTGCTTTTATCTCTCAAGAGGCTCTGCAGCACACAGAGGAGGAGGAGGACAAAGGTGGGGGTGTGATTACTGACTGTTCCTCATGGAAACAAGTAAAGGGGATCTGTGTTTAGCTCAGGCCACACAGCAAACATAACTCAAGGTAACTTTTGTTCCTGTCTGAGTCCAAAAGGTGGCACAGGCAGATCTCATCCACCATCAGCCACTTGGACAATTGAGAAAGAGGAAGTTTCTGATGCACAACAAAAGCATCTGCCCCTAACCTTCATTAAAAGTCAATGGGATTTCAGCTCCTGATTCTCATTACTGCTTTTGAAAGTCTCCCCTTTTGTCCTTCCACTGCAGACCAGAGATGAAAGCAAGAGCTTTTCTGTTTGAGACAGGCAGCAGCCCCTTCACTTAAGACTGACCAGGAAAAGCGAGAGTTTCACTCCTACTGGACTTGGGGTTTTCTATTTGTGTGGTATTGATCATGCAATGATGGGTAATAACCAAATTACAGCAGAGCCCACAGGTTTGATCAATCTCTTCTCAGATACAAACGTGACCTCTCTCACCAGCTGCAACCTGCAAGCTTGGGAGGCCTTTCATGGTAAAGCAGTAGATATTTATTTGTTCAAGCACTGGTATGAAAGATGAAGAGCATATTTACTCTTTAACAGTACTAAGCAAAAAAAAAAAATGCCACTGTATTTCTCCGTGAAATACAGACTATCAGAAATACTCAATAGTTACAGCAAAGGACTCTGATAAAAACCACTACAGATGTGTACATAGTATTACTTCAAATGATCTTCTGATGTAAAAGTACTGAAAGTTCATGAATTTTACTGATTAAACAAGACATGTACCTGAAACACTACTTTGACTCTTCTAGCACTGTTTGAAGACCTATCTCCTTTAAAATCATAGTTTAATCCTAAAATTCAAACAAAAAAATTACAAAACCATGCAGTTTCTGCTTCAAAAGTCCTTTATTTCCACTGGTAGCTCTCAAAAAAACTTTAAATAAACCCAAAGCAAACAAGAAAGGTATTACAAGCCCTAGTGCCTTCATAAACAGACAGTCACATTCATTTTAATTGTTCCATAATAAACAATGAAGACCTGTTTTAGAAAAGGAGCTTTAGTAGCTTTTTCCACCAAATTTCTGTGTTAAAACAGGATTAAATAACCAGTGGGCAGCAGAAAGCAATCCCCATAAGCATACTGAAAAACAAGTCATCCAGGACAGCATAACAAGCTAATCCATTACTTCTTTGATTTGTTTGCTTGTTCAGGGGCTTGTGGATTTTAGTGATTAACATAAGGTTTCTAGGTATCATTAGCAACTCGAGCGACAAGTGCAGTTTGACATGGTGTAGTTTTGAAAGCAAATTCAAAAAATTCTGGTAATCCACTGTGAACTTCACAAGAAAACACCCCAGACTTCTGTGTGCACAGAAACAAAATACTTTCCTCTATGTATTCCATACTTGATTCAAATGCTGTGGTAAGAAACATGTGTGTGCATATGGCTGCACATCTCCATTTTAGTGGTTATTGTTTATTAATGCACCCAACAGCAAATCCCAACAGGTATCACATTCCAATCACTCAATTAGAGCCACTTGGCTATTCCTGTTACAGGAATAGAGTGCACCACTTTATGTCACTGCCTTGGTCAGCTTTAACTACTGAAGTGCATGCATGTAAATATTTCTGCCACTCCATGGCATCCTAAATAGCTTCATGGTGCTGAAATAATTGAACTGCCACTCATTACAAGGCGAAAGAAAAAGGATTTAGAGAAGGTGAGCATGGCTTACAGCACTTGTTCCTACAAAGGAAAAATGGCTACAGATATCAGTGCTAATGGAAAAAATAAATGCAGCAGCATTTCTTCCATATTTTATGGAAATTTAAACTTATTCCTGCTGACAGGGGCAGTCAGTGGAAATGAGCCTGAGAAACCTGAGCAGCTTGGTTTTAAAGACTGAGAAACATCTACTCCATGATACTGTCAAGAAAAAAATGCCTTACCACACCAGACTAACAATCTGTCTAACCAAAATCTTCTCCCTGATAAGAGCAACAGGGGATGATTTTCAGGGAGAACATGTCAGCCTAGCAACTGTGCAGTCTCTTCCCCTTGCATTCCCCCTGCATCCACATCCTTAACTGATCCATTAGGGATGTTAGAGCATACATTTCTGTCCAGTCCTTTTACTGTCCATTTGCTTGTCCTGTTGACTATGAATCTTCCTAACCATTTTTACCATAAGAAGTTTAACACTGAAGCTACGTGTGTTCTGAAAGCCTACTCCCAAGGGGAGTGAGATGGCCAAAACAGAGGAGTTAGGTAAAGAAATAGGTCAAGAAAATTTACAGCAAGAGCAGCAAACAGCCTAAAATACTTTCTGCCTTTACAATGTTGGCATTTAGAGGTTGGTGCTCCACGTAGAGCCTAAGTTCCCTGCATCCATGAGCATAGAACAGTACAATGTGACTGGACAGTGCCTTCCTCATCCAGCAGAAATGGAGGAACTGCTATGGCTGAGTAGCTCTCATGAGAGTAACGTCTAAAGACGGCATCCAGTCTAACATGCTTATTATGTACCTTCTTTTAATTGTTAATAAATAGTTTCAAGATTCTTTCACCCAAAAATGAAGCCCAGCAATTGCACTTCCTCAATTTTCTAAAAGCCCTCAGTGTAAGTCTATTTTTCCTTTTAACAGAAAGGGCTCATTAATTTTTAACATTACACATTGATCACTCAAGTAATCTCCATGGAAGTTTCATAAACTGGCATTCTGGTCAGACAGGTTGTTTGAGGCAACAAATTGCTAAGCCCCAGCTTGGAGAGCACCTGCTCTAAGTAGGAGTTATCCCAATCCCACAGGGTTTGTTAGCGTCGCTTTAGATTGCCACCCCAGTCGGGTTAAATAAACCTCCTCTGTGCAGTTGCTTTTGAGAGCTTGTTGTGAAGAGCTACAGAGAGAAGAATTTGCTGCAAGGATAAAGTCTACAAGACCAAAAATTCACAGGAAAGGAAAGAGTATTATTTCATAATTGCACTTAAACATGACTGCTGAAATTATACACAGACGCTGGAGACGTAAAGATTCAAAGCAAGTCTCACACAACCAGTTTGATCTCATATGTTTACAATTTCCATAAATGAAAAATACCTTGGCAATACAGTTGCTATAAAAGTACCTCTTTGCAGCCTGCAATATCCACCAAGCTTTTTTACTTCCTAAGACTAATACCCTACATCAAGTTAACTCAATACCTTTAATGAAATATCAGGGTTGAGACACCCAGAACCACAGGAAGTCAACAGACATCCAATCCCACCTCATACTTTCAAGTTCATCTCCTCAATTCTCCTAATTATATTCACACACAACGGATATAAGTAGTAAAACACATATGTACCCACATGGCATAGCTAGAAGTGCCACTTCAAAGCTGTTCCCTAAAACAAAACAAAAGAAATCTTGAAAAAAAAAAAAAAATTGCAAGGCCAAATTATTCATCATCCCAGTTAGAATTTAGCTGGTCAAGTCTGACATAAATTTCATGGTAAATCTACAGTAGAGCTTGGTGAAATGTTAGATAAAAGTTTACTTAGCAGCAATAGTACATAAAACTGGGTCAGTCTTTTCACTACGTCTTCTCAGACCTTTTCTTCTCCCAGCGTACAAACAGATCTCACTAAACTTAATAATAAAACTTAAAATTGGTTTTGAAAGCTATCAACATTTTGTTGTTGTTGTTGTTTTTGGAAGGGAAACAGCTGAACCAATAAGCAATGCAAAGAAATTTACTTCTAGACGGGCAAAACCACCACTTCCACTTAGCAACCTGGCCCAGCACCACTCCTGAGCCCTACTAAGATAAAAAATTTTTAAAAAAGGCAAACAGTGCCTAAGTTTAACAACTCCTCCATAAGAAGAGCATGAAGGAACGGCCTGCTTGGCTATATTCTTTAACACATGTGTGCTTGCACATATGCCCAGGTGCGTAAGTGAAGCAGTTTCCAAATTTGTGTCAGGCAGTCAGAACTGAGTATGTAAAACATCAAAACACATTTGCAAACTTTCCTCCTACAAACTGCAAAATGCAAGATGGCAGAAATTCACTTCTAACATGCCAAGATCAAACTTTGGGTAATACACCTAGCACCACATCACAAGAACAAAAGAACAACAATCTTCAATTCCATTCTTTTAAATAATTTCTGATTTTTAGGAACATATGGATAGTGTACCCTTGTTACAAATAGTTCTCTACACAGATTCTTACAAAAAACCACTACTGACTGGAAGTATAAACTCCTTCAAAATATCATGAGAATATTTTTATTTGACTTGAATATTTTGATGTCAGTGTTTAATGGAAACATTACTAATGGTCAACAACTCCCCATTCAACAGAACTTGGGATCAATTCTATCTGGCATAAGACATTTGAAAAATTTAGAGTTACAGAATCATAGAATGGTTTGCATTTGAAAGGACCTTAATGATAATTTATTTCCAGCCCCTTGCTGTGGGCAGGGACACTTTCCACTAGACCAGGTTGCTCAGAGCCCCATCCAGCTGGACCTTGAACACTTCCAGGGATGGGGCATCCACAACTCCTCTGCACACCTTGACAGCAAAGAACTTTCTCCTAGTATCTCATCTAAACCTACTCTCTTCCAGTTTGAATCCATTCCACCTTGTCCTGTCACTATACGCTCTTGAAGAAGTAGGCTTCCTGTGGGTAGTAGAATATTTTAGAAAACCTAATATTCTATCAGACTTTACATTCAAAAGAACCCATATATGTTCTCATGAGTCTTGTATGGCTATTTTAAGTACACAGAATATACAGACACAAAGCAGCCTTTCTGAATCAGAAAGAGTTAAAGAAGCTTCCTGAGGAAGTTTCTTCCATAAGAATTCCTCCTCAAAAGCAAAATTAAATCACAAAGGAGAAGGCAGACAGACAAAAAGACTCAAAACTCCATATTGTGGACAGGATATACTATTTGACATGCTAAAGTAGACATGCACAAAGGGAAGCATACACAGAAGAACTAGAAGGTTCTTGGACCTTTTTTTGTTATGAGACAGCTGCAAACACGTAGCTGTTAGCATTACTGACTGAGGAAAAGATTCATTTATTTCAAGTAGCAGCTAAGCAACCTTTGACCACTGTAAGACCTGACAACTTTAATTAGTTTTAGCTTAAAACGGAACCAAACTTGGCTTTGGCATCTCTCCAAATAATTTTATCCCAGACTGCTCTCTGTTCCTAGTGGAGCATTGCAGTATAATTACTTTAATCTCTTCACAGGCATGTTCCATTTGCTAGCTTTCCAAGGAAATTTACAGCCTTAACATATAGCTCAAAAATAATTTTAAAAATATTTCTCATATTAGTGAAACAAAAATTAACAAGAAGCCTCCATCTCTCACTGGCCTGTAAAGAGAATTTTTATTTTTCAGAAGTTGCTGTGCCAAATCTGTGTTCATCACGTTCAATTAAAGGCGCTGGACACAACAGCTCTGTGCAGTACAGGCACAGTGAAGTTGCTAGACCTGTTTGTATGGTTGGGGTTTGGTTTTCTTCAGGTTTAGCTCGTATCATTCTAGACAAGAAAATGACCATCTGGCACAAATTCCAGACATATTAGCAGCCATAACTATTTCCAGATTAAATAACGTTATCACGTTGCTATAAAACACTAACAGCACTTAAAGATTCAGCCGCTCTGATCTGGCCACCGCACCCACAAGCTCAACAGGGAAAAGAGCTGGACAACCTATTTTTGCATAAAGTCAAAGTTATCTCAATAGAGAGAACAGGAAAAGGGGCCCTTCAGCAGAGCAGGGCTCTGAGTTTGCATTCATTTTCCTTCCACCAGAGTGTTAAGTAACAAGTTGCAAAACATGCAGGTATAGAAATGTACACATAATGGGGCTTTTTCTTAACAGGCTTTGGTTTTGGAAAAAAATCACAACTTGAAAAATACATATTTACATGGAACACAGGTTAATCTCATACTTCAGATGGAAGGCAACTTGATTCTGTATGAGGTCTCACAAGTTTAGCCCTGTCCCTACAAAAACTGCTCCCTGCACGGCTGAGCTTCTCTTCTCACGTTAGAAACTCACTGTGCCCGCAGAGGAGAATTGTCAACCGTGATCTTCATCCAAGAAGAAAAGACGACATTATGGATTTCCCACTATAATTCAGAGAGCAATTTTCATCAGAGGATGAGCTTAATTAAAATAAGACAGGACAGCAGAAGTAATAAAAAACCTTTTAATTACATTTCTTCGGTTTTGGATTTGTCCTCAAGCTAGACATCCAGACTGCCTCAGCCTTCACCAAAAATATGAAAGGAATTCAACTTACAAAGTTTTCCTGAGCAAGCAAAAAAGCATTGAAAGTCAAAAAAATTACTACTTTCAATTTGTGCCTCTCTATCAAAGAATAATTTGCAGGAACATAGAAAACAGCCCATATTTATTCTAAAAAGACTGAACTAAGACTTTTTGGTAAATAAAACTAATACATTTCCAAACTCTGTATACACAATGTGCTTTCTTCCATACACAGCCCTGTGCAGGAGGTCTGCATTTTCTTCCCCACATTCACCACTACAAAGCTCCAAAGCTGAACTCCATAAACATTACTACACAGCACCTATAAATGGTTTAATTAAATGCTGTTGATACCAACTCTTTATAAGCTATCAGCGTGGCAACCTCTCAAGGGCTCCTCAGTCAGCAAAATAAAGGCAGCCATAGGGACAATACAATACTTAACAACAAGATGCTCTCCCGGGGCACACAGGTACCAAGCTAACGAGCCACCAAGTCATTCACTGCCAGGGAAGCAGGGTGCAACACAAAGAAAACAGCAGGGAAATTCACTTAAGTTGCCCAGGCGACAGCAAAGCAACGTGATGAAAAATTCCCAGTCTCCCAGCGGCAGGGAAAGCACTGGGGCGAGCTCACACCAGCCCAGGGCTGGGACTGCAGCACACTCTAGTGACCCGAAGTCTCCACAGTAAAAACTAAATAAATTCAATGCTGAGCTCCCCCAAAAAAGCTAAAGAGCAGTAATTTTAACTCTGCCTCCATTTATAAAGCATGTAATGCTTGTTAAGAGGCAAAGGATTGACCAGTGTTGGTCTGGGACCACCAACCTTTTTCCCCCCTTGCCCTGTGAAGGCAACCGTGGTTATTATGCAATTTGCCATTTCTTTGGGGCAGATTTAAACGTTGATAATTAATCATTGATGAACTATGGCTTTGCACTTTGTCTTAGTGGCTGAGAACTGAGGTGCAGCAGACAACAGTGTGGGCCCTGTGTGCAGATCCCACAGCAGCACCCCAGCTCCAGCAGGACAGCACCAGGACACTCCTCCCCACAAATCACCAGATTCCAGGGACCTTTGCACACCGTGGCTTATTCTTGCCGTTTCTAGGCTCCACATACAGTCTGTACTGTAAAATGTAACTGAAAATCAGCAGCTTTTCAACAGGTGCTTCAGATACTGCAACAAACAGTCCATTTGCAAAATCAAAAATAACTAAAAACATGGACTTCTCTCCCTCCCCACCCCCTGTAAGCATTTTAGAGTTACCTTGTACAACACTATCAAGAAAAATAATGTATATACAGTCCCAGAGCAATTTGCTTCACTAAGGCTGGAAAAGTGAAAGAAGCCTAGAAAGAAATGATAAATTCAGCACGGCTCATTTCCACATTTTCATGCACTTGCCCAGGACAGCCCTGGCTTAGCATGTCCTAGAAGAAGATTTCAAGCACACAGACAGACCCTTCTCATTCAGAGTAAAGTATAACTCATTTCCATTGCTGAGAAGCTTCCAAATTGCCATAGAACTACAGCCCCCATTCACACCACCTTGGTCAAGTGGCCCTTTCCCACTCACACCTTGAGCCCATCATTCCTTCATCTTCTCAAATTAAAGCATTATTTTTTTTACATCCTATGGTTTTACTGACCAATCTTCACAAGGTGGAGGTATTATCTTAGTGACTCCATGGATTCAGTGACTAGATAAGCCTCAATAATTTAAACCCATCAAACTACTAATTTTTTTTCCCATGTGGCCTCCTGCATTTCAATGCCAACTTCCTTCTACCACTTATTTGCAGCAGTTAAGTTTTAATTCTCCCCTTTCTCTGTGATTCCCAGTATGCCTTTGTTTCTCCTTCTCTTGCTTCACTTTGTTTAAAAGTGCTTAAATTAAAGAAGCTTTTCCAATCATTCTGCTGTATCTGCAGTTGTTGCTCTTGTTCTCAGTGCAAGCATGAGTTAGTGGTTAATCCAAACCACAGACATATGCACACACACACTCACTACACCAACACACAACGTTTGACATTCTTCTCATAATGAATTTATAGAACAATTATCATTACACAAGACACACTTGGTACCCATGGTACCACCACTTCAGTCAGGAATACATACTAAAAAAGAAATTTTGGAGAGTTTAAGTTTCAGACTGTTAATAACATCATGACTACAGCAAGTACTTACAATGGATCATTGTACCTTCTAATGAACAAAGCCTGTTGAAACACTAAACTACATGATTATTGCTTAATTTCTAGATGTGGATACACCTCATTGCCTCTCTGTACAGACTACACTTTGAAGCTGAAATAATGAACTACATGATTAGAGAGCAGCTTTTAAAGAGAAC